TATATTTATAACAGGATTTTACAAATAAAGGCAACAACTGTATACCAAAATAAACAAAAACCAACAACAAAATAAACGTTAGAACACAATCTGCAATCAAGCATAGTGCATCTCAACAGCTGGTGCAATGGGAGGGCGAAATGAAAATCCATACAACAGGGTTTCCGGAACGCGAGTTCTCAAAACCAGTAAGAAAAAGAAAACCAGCACTGCATTTTGCAGTGAAGTTTTGGGGGTTTTTTAATTTTAAAAAAAAAAAAAAAAAAAAAAGCAAAATCCAGACGATGATGTTCCTCTGCGGAGAAAGACCCTCGCAGTTTAAGGGGACGAGTGTCAACACCCTAACCCTCTTTCTTTAACACAGTAAGGTGGGCCAGGGTTTGCCAAGGAGACTAAGGAATTCAGATGCTCCGACCCCACCGGGATTAGACTCCCTTCGGAAATCCCAGCCTTTTCCTTTTTCAAAGGCACTGACAGGGGCACATTCAGCGGGCGCCGCGCCGCCGACTTGGGCTGAACTGCTCCCTCTTGCGCAAAGCTCTCGCCTCGCCCCGCTCGGGAAGCGGCCGCTCGCCACCAACGGGACTCGGAAAACTGATTTTGATTTCCAGCAGACTAGACCCGGTGAAACTGTACAGCAGCAGCAAGAGAGAGGCCTGGAGTCAGGTGCAACAAGCAAAGTGAGCCTTGGGATATTTTCTCCCCTACCCGGCCCAAACTAGCAGCTCAAGTTACAGGAAGGGGCGCGTGTTAATTTATTTATTAGATGTACGCCGTGTAAAGCTTCCAAGCAGCATCTACGTTTTATTTCTTGAAAAATATATATATATATATCAGCAAAGGTGTGGAGAGAAACCCGTCTTAAGTCTACCTGACCGTGTGTGACCGGGCAGTGACCGTCACTCTGCTCCTCCTCCCACGCTTTTGGTGGCGTCACCGCCACCGCCGCGCCTCGCACCGACACCGGCCACTGCTGGGGCACCCAACCAGTTGAGCTCCAACTGCGGGGCCGTTGCCTTAAGAGCCTTGACAAGAAGTACCATTATTTTAACATTCACAAACCCGAAAGCCAAGTCTGCCTACTGGAATATTTTTTCACAGCTTTGCAGTACGCTTGCAGCTGACCGAGTCTCTGCAGATGCAGAGAGGGAAGAAGGTAAGGGGTAAAGCACAAAACCCTTCTTTTTTTTGCTTTTGGAAGTAGTTCTGAATGGCTAACCTTGGCACATCCTTCATCCTTCTCCAAGCTACCTGACAAGTCAGAGAAAAGGGGATTTAGCTTCCTATGCGCAGTGAACCTCATCCCCACACCTCAGTCTTCCCAAATAAAAAAAGGTAAAACAACCCAAACCAAAAAAAAAAAAAAAAAAAAGGAAAAAAGGAAATAAACTAAAAGTCACACTGCGCTTAGTCTTTGGTTTCCAAGTTCAAAGGAGGAATCTGCTTCAAAGCTTGAAGCAGAGCCGAGGAGTCGATGGGGGAATGGGCCGGTACGGGAGAAGGGAGTCTCTGGGGCATCAGCAGAGGCGGGGAGATTTTGTCAGGAAGGAAATAAACTAAAAGTCACACTGCGCTTAGTCTTTGGTTTCCAAGTTCAAAGGAGGAATCTGCTTCAAAGCTTGAAGCAGAGCCGAGGAGTCGATGGGGGAATGGGCCGGTACGGGAGAAGGGAGTCTCTGGGGCATCAGCAGAGGCGGGGAGATTTTGTCAGGGTTCATGAACCCCGTGAGCGCGGCGGCGGAGGCCGGGAGGCTGGGGTACAAGACAGGGACGGACGCCGGGTACCAGCACTTCTCCAGCATGGGCAGATAGGCCGTTGCGGACGGTGGGATCAAGTAGAAATAGGCTGGTGAGCGTGGGGGCCCAGGAAGCCGCTGGAAGGGCCCATCATGTCGCTGCCAAAAGGGCCCTCGTCCTCCGGCGACTCCAGCCTGCTCCTTTTGGCCGGTGGGTCCTCAGTCTCTTGCTTAATCGAGCTTATTCTCTCCTGGACAGCGTACTTGAGTTCGGTATCCTTTTTGAAATACTGCTGTTCGGATTTGGAGTCACTTTTCTCCAGCTCGCCCCCGTACCCGCGGTCCTTGTCGGTGTCGCTGCCGCTCTGCTCCCCGCTGGAGTGAGCGAATGTCCTCTGGATCACGGGCACGCAGTTCTTCCCGTGGCCTTCCGCTGCTTTGGTCAAGGAGACGGGCTTCTCTTTCAGGTCCACCATTTTAGGAGGGATATCTCCGGACTTGCGGCCGGCTCCGCCCTGGAGCACCTCGGAGGCCATGCGGTGCAGATGGTTGACCAGCTGGGATGACTTGAGGTCCTTGCCGTTCTCGTGCTTTGCCAGGTATTGCAGCATTTCCTTGGCACACATCTGGAAACCGGATCGAAACATTTCCTGGCTGGAGTCGAGGTTTCGCGACGACAGGTCACCTGAGGAAACATTAACAGAAAGAAATTAAAAATTAACAACGCGCTAAATAGCTCCATCGCCACCTTTGGGGCGGGTATTAAACTTGGGTTACAGCCCAGCTGGGGAGGTGGAACCCGATGGTCAACCCGAACCGCACAGACATCCCCCCCTTTCTGTTTCCATCTGAACGTCCGTCTGTCCCCTGTCACGTAGCGGCTTTACGCTATTTTTCCAGTTCTCTATTTACTGCCCGTGCCACCTTCAACAAGTGCTGAAGCACGGAGTGAGTCAAGCTGGTGCGTTCTCTGGGAAACACCCCAGGGAAGGCAGCAAGCACCTCGCCCTCCACCTCCGGGCACGAGAGCTCCCGGAGCTCCCCGCCAGCAGCTCTGCCAACCTCGGGCGACCGAGCTTCAGCCTAAAGCTCTACTGCACTCCCTGTGGCTGTCGGAGTAGTGGAAGGCTCTTCAGAAAAAAAAAAAACCAACACAAAACCCTCTAAATTTTACTTTATCAGATTCACGTGAGCGCCACATGTGAAAACAGAAGGAGGAAGTGCCTCTAAAGCGTGATGGGCTGATAAACCGGGTCCCCTCTTTGCCTGCAGAACACAGGCTAGCTCCTTTATAAAGAGACCCAAAAAACACGTGTATGAAAAGCATATTTGCATGTGTTTGCAGGAAAAAAAAAAAACAAAAACACACCCAAACAAACAAATCTGGGTTTGATCCAAAGCTCAGCAACATGACCGGAAAGATTCATACGGCTTTGGGGAGAACCGCACAGCAAGCCCGGGCTTCGAACAAAACTACTTAAAATCCAATTTAGTCAAAACAACTCCACGGGGCACTCTACACTGACCATATTAAGAAATAGATATCTTTTTTTTTTTTAAAAAAGCTCATAAGCAAAGCGAGAGAAAACAACAGCGATTAAAGGCAAGAACTCCTGCCTCCTCCCTCCTCAGGAACAAAGTGTCACAACTGCATTTCAAAGACTCCGAGAGAAAGTCCGTCAGGCACACGCAGGTTCTCACACGACACGATTTGAATACTCACCCGCTTGTAAACCGTTCTGCAAAGCAATTATTTTCTGCTGCTGCTGCTCAATGAGATTGGTCAGTGCTTTCACATGCTTCAAGGTGAGCTCGAGAACCACAGCCTTCTCCAAGTG